GAAGCTGATGTGATTGCGATTCAACAGAGAAGGAAGAAAACAGTTTCACATCATCAGCATACATTAAGATCTGGCTGGAATTAACCACCGATGGGAGATCGTTAATGTATAAACTAAATAAAATGGGACCCAAGTGACTTCCTTGAGGTACGCCAGACGTAACGGGGAATTCATCCGAGCTAATGAAGTTAAACAAAACTCTGAAGGATCTATTGTGCAGATAAGAGCTTATCCATTTCACTAAGTAGGGTGGGAAACCAGAGGCTTGGAGTTTAAAGATAAGTAGTCTATGGTTAACCAAATCAAATGCTTTGCTTAAATCAGTGTAAATAACATCTGTGCGAGAGCCACTAGAAAAAGCCTTGAAAACATGACAGGTAAACTCTAACAAGTTGGTGACTGTAGATCGCCCTTTCCGAAAGCCGTGCTGGTGCGGAGAAATATACGAATTAATGGCAAAGGCTAAATGCTGAGTCACAATACGCTCGAACAACTTGGGCAAGACACTCAACTTGGCTATGCCTCTGTAGTTCTCAACAAATTGTCTACTTCCACTCTTGTGGATAGGAATAAGGAAACTACTCTTCCAACATGAAGGGAAAACACCTGAACACAAGGACATGTTAAAAATCTTTGAGATCACACCACACAACTCGACAGCGCAAGATTTAAGTACACATGATGGAATTCCATCAGGTCCAGGCGAACAACTGTATTTTAGAGAACTTAACCCTTTGAAAACATCATCTTCCGAAATAACCAAGTTAGGTATTGAAACCGAGTTAGTTATACGATATGGGTAGTTTGCTGATAACTCAAAATTAGCAATCGAAAAGTTTCGTCGGAAATACTCAGCAAATAGATTTGAGATTTCAAAATCATCCGAGGAACCAGAGCCATTAAAAGAAACATGAGAGGGATATGTGGAAATTTTTCTTTTAGAGTTAACAAATTTAAAGAAGAATTTAGGATTAGCAAACAGAGAGGATTTAATGAACTGAAGGTATCTGCAGTAATAATGATGGTTGAGGGAGTTAAATCTATGCCTCGCCACCGAGTAAGCGAAATAGTCGAGCGCAGAGCCACTTTTCGAATATTTTTTGAATAGCGAGTTTTTTCTATTCTTGTGATATTTAATTGTCTTATTAAACCACGGGGGACATCTGCTTCGAGGTCGACAATGCTTGATCGGAACAGATGCAGCAATAGCTAGATTTAATGTATTGTAGAACGATGGCATTAAGTTTTCAATACTACCGGTTGAGAAATCAAGCGTCAGATGTGAAAGACGATGTTTTAGTAATACAATATTGATTTTATGAAAATCATAATAATTAACAAGTTTGAGTTGGCACATTAAGGCATTCCAACAAACCATCATTAATATGATGAAAGGAAATGCATATTGATGGATGATAAGGATCCTCAGGTAAACTAAAAGGTGGGCAACGATTTACGTAAATCTCGGGAAAATTGGCAAAGCAGAGATCAAGCAGTCTACCATTACAATTAGGGGTACGATTATATTGAACCAAATTGTGATCAAACAATTCATTAAAGAACACAACAGCCCTATCAGACGTTGAAGTAGGAACCAAGCAGCCAGAATTATCAGTGTTACACCAAGTGACTTGAGGCAAATTGAAGTCACCCAATGCAACGACCAAATCGGTGGGTCTAGACCGCTTGGCCACTTCACAAATGAGGGCAGCGTGTTTCCCGTAAATGGAGATATCAGAATTTGGGGGAATATAGGAGCAGGTTATGAATAGATGTTTATCAGGCATATTCGCACGAATAGCGATAAATTCAACGTCAGGAGAAGTGGGAAATTCAATTAAATTGGACGGGACTGACGCAGATATGGCAATTAATACACCACCACCAATGCGATTTACTCGATCATTTCTAAACACTTGGAAAGAATTATGAAAAAGTTCCGACGAATGTAGATCGGGTTTTAGCCAGGTTTCAGTAAAGGCCAAACAGAAAAATTCCGTGCTCACTGAATTTAGAAAAGTGGAACGAATTTTCGAATTTAGGCCCCTAACATTTTGATAAATGAGAGATAGTGGGCCTGAAGAAACAATTAGTTTTTTGAAGGCGACAAGACTATTGCCTTGGTATTACGGGGACGATCACGAGGGATAAATTCCTTAATTAAGGATCCTACCGGCCACAGTGATTTGTTTAACAACATATCACTGTTTTCAGTCGGAACTAATATTTTAAAAGAGGAGATTGCCCTAGCTTGAGAAGGAGCCATTTTGAAGATGCTAACACGCTTTAAGTTGACTGATGGGACTTTCGTCGCCAGATAACCTTTTATGTTATCCACCGATGTTTCAGGTGTCAGTCTTGACACAAATATTGCTTTTCTGGGAGGAACTGCCGTCAAGCAAATGTCATTATTTGGAACAGGAGGGGGGTTCACAGTAGGAGAGTTTCGAGTTGGGGAAAATATAGATGGGGTTATCGCCCTTGTACCGGCAGCTTGTGAGACTTGCCCAGTCTGGTGACCAGCATTCACACGCGAACAGGCAGGAGGAGAGGATGACTTATTTTTCTCTTCATTACTTTTAGGCGATGGCACTTGATTAGAGTGAGTGGCGGCTCTGGGCGGAGATACCCTTGCCACTTCAGCGTAGCTTAAAGCCGATGGACTTGCCGGTTTGTTTGTAACTGTTTTGCTACCAACCGACTCAGCAATATCGGAAACATTACTATCCATTTTAGAGTTAGAAGGAGCGGTAACTTGTACCAACGAATTAGATTTGGAGAAAGCCAGAGGTGACGTCCCACACGCTACGCTACGAGTAGAAGATGAGTGTCCAATAAAGCGACACTCATCAAACCTAGACTTAATGAGCTCAAACTTTTCCCATAAGGAGCCGAGATTTCTACTCAATTCCGAGAAACCATAACGGGTCTCCGTGAAAAGTTTATAAAAGTCAATGTCCCGCTGCCTACAGTCAGGACATGACCATCTTAAGCCTTTAGAAGGATCAGCGACTGCGTCAGCAGCACTTCTTCGATCGATTCTTCGAGTAATTCCGAGAAGTATCCATGCTGACATTCGGATCGATATCTCTTTGGGGGTGCAAGTTATAGCTCGTTGTCCAAAGTGCACATCTATGTCCATCATTGCAATGAAGTCATAGTTTAGACGTAGATCTGTAAAAAAATGTAAGTTTTCTTTTCTTGTCTATTACGGCAGACGACTTATTCCCATTTTAGCTTCAAACATCTTTCTTAATTTTTACTATTGCGATCTTTCTAACAAGAGAAAAAGCATAAAAGCGAAAAAATGATCGAAGGGACATGTTTTCATAGGCTTAGAATCTTACTTCTTGGTCGAGAATAATACACTTTATGTGTATATATGAACGCATATACATACGTAACATTTATTGTTTCGATCGCGATAACATTTACTGATTTAACCTTCACACTAGTTGACAGCACTTTTTAGCGGGTCTTTCCGCTCGTTTTACTTTTGAGGAAAGACGATAAGCACGATGTAAAATAGTCGAAGGCACAATATCAGCCCGTCCAGTAAGAAAGTTTCGTTCGTCCGCCTGTCTTCAAAAGGATTTTTCGTTACCTATTTCTTGGGTGTTGGCTAGATAAAAAATGAACATTCCCCCATTACTACCACACTAAGTAATTTTACAATGACGTTTGTGCGTTTATCGGTTACAACGTCCGACCGGCTGACCTTTTGATTATGTTAATATAAACTACTACCTTCTGCTACAACACATTGACCAGGATTTCTGCATGTTCCAAGCAAGAGGACAAATCAAAAAAAAAAAAAAATTATATTCGGCCTTTGGTTCTAAAAAAAAATTTAAAAAAAAAAGAAAAAAAACAAAAAGATTTCGGTTCCTGTGCAGATATTATAGTATCGTCCATGGAAAATAAGTTGAACGGCGGTAAAGCCGAGTAAGTAACAGCCACGACCAACTAGGCCTGTCCGCGGTCGCAAACCGCAGTGCAGTTTGATCGCAGTTGGTCGTAGGTATAGTGAGTGGTCAGTCACTAAAATCATAAAAACTTTACAGATTGGACACAAAGCTTGTCTCATTCCTTTCCCACTTCTTTGTGACTATCGCCGTGTTATATATAGGGAACACCTTCTGAGTGGTTGGTCACATTATGAAAAAAAACTCAGGGCTTCCTGTAACTATTGTAGTAAGTATTACACATAATGAGCAAAAAAAAAAAAAAAAACATTTTCTTATGCTTTTGGCGACAAACGAACTTTCAGTTTGCTTTATACTATAAGCGAGTTCTTCAGCTGATTTGAACAATTTTCACTACATTAAGCTGCATGCAAGATATACGATATGCAATTTTTACGATCTTGAAAACTTTTGTAGCAGGCGAACAGGTATGCAGCGGAATTATTTATTTAACACTAATACAAATGTAAGCTTATTTATGCATTTTTAATGTTACAAAGGTCTTAGCAAATTGAATATACCTCTAGCCTTTCGATAGTGGGTTATTGAAGAAAAAAAATGAAAACACTTCATAAGTAATTTTCCGTAGAAGATCACATTAACCAGATGTTACTCAAAATCATGTATAAAACACATACGCTAATATCAACCGAGAAATCGATACGTACTCGAGGATATTGCGAGGAAATGAATAAAAACAACAAAAAATGTTGAGAGAGAGAGAGAGAGAGAGAAAAGAAATGAAAATTCAAAACGAACTTACCGTCTCATTGTGATTTATTTGTTTAGGAAACTGCAACTGTCTATCTGCGTATATGCTTTTCTTATTTGCTGCTCTCCTGACGTTCTTTTCCTTGTTAGATGTAATCCAATTCATAAGATTCCGTTTTCATCGTACGCATTCATTCATATATACGTCATTTGTGTAGTCAGTGGTATAAACAGCTGTTAGGAAATTTATGCCAGAGCACGAAATAAGTTTGTATGTGTGTTGTTGGAGTGTTCGAATGTAATCAAGAATGTTTTTTTTTTTTTTTTTTGAATAACACTTACGAGCATATATCATACGTATAACGTCTACATATAGCAGTAATGAAAACTAAAGATGAAATAGAACAGCGGCACTTTAGAGCTTTTGTTTTCTTTTCTTTTTTTTTTTGTTTTTCGTATATCGAACACACTTTTATGATAAGTGCTTGCTTGTACAGCAAAGCTGTACTAGCGAGAGCATAAAGATGTGTATTTTTTTTTTTTTTTTTTGTTATTTATTTATTTATTTTTTTTTTTTATTTGTTATTTTTGTGGTTTCAATGTTATTCAGGCTTCAATGCCAAATCAAAGCAGAAAAGAAAAAGGGGGGCTCTCAACAAAAACGATGCTTCTCTTAGTGCATTTTACATTTATAGAGTTAAAAACAATAAAAAAATATTTTATTAAAAAAAATCCTTTTATGCAAGTATTATTATTATTATATATAGCTATTGTTAGTGCGTTGTTGCTTAACTTAAAAACTAATCATACCACAATCACTCCTATTCACCCTTTTTAGCACATGCACTTACTTTAAACTGGAGAAATTCAAGTCTTTTTTTTTAGATTAAGATTTGAAACAAAAAAAAAAAAATAAAAAAAATATTATATCAACCATCGAACCGTAACTGGGTCATATTAGATTCCGTTCTGCCTTCATAGTCTCCAGAAATACGCATTAAAAAAAAAAAAAAGAAGAAAAAAAAGAAGATAAAGTAGAGGCACACATAATGTATAATTCACTTTCTGTATATCTATCGTCTGCTACTTACTTACGTTCATAAAAAAGTGAGATAAAATACCTGAAACTTGACACACATGCTATGTGTTTAGTTATATAGGTTGCAAGGCACATTTTAAAATGATCGCAGTCAAGCAAAGCAAGATGATACGTATTAAAGATTTGCTCTCAGCCTAAAATATATTTTTTTTTTTTTACTTTTTCCTTAATTTATGTAATTTTGCTCTTTTACTTAATATAATAAAAATTTAATAACGGACAACATACTTTATGCTGGCGTATTCCTCCTACTTACCAAAAGACCACAATAAAAAAAAAAAGAGCAAAAAGCGAAAAATTCATGCTGAACTGACAACGACTTTTGTGATGCCCACAAACGTTAACAAATTTTAAATTTATTTTCTTAGTAAATTTTTAGCAGATACATCAAATACAAATAGGTAAGAGTAACATGCTACATAAGCATCATAGTCAATATAGTATGACGTATCGTACATGGCCAGAGTATTTGCGCGGACATAAGCCTTCACAGTACGTTCGCTTGACCGTATGTAATATGTAAATCAGAACATACCCATCCTGAGTAACAACCCTAAGCTTCTCTTTAACAAGCTGGCCAACGAATGATTTATTTAAAATAACAACAAAGTCGCCTGTTATGGAATATAGAGTATAATCGTCCATCCTTAAGTCATAATCGCTCGGTTTACCAAATTTCATCAAAACCTAATCGTTAATAGTGGCCTATAGATGGAACAAGGCACTTCTTCGACGGACAATATATGGACAGATATCTCGAAACATTTTAAATCATGCTGAACTGATTTGTGTAATAAAAATTATGCCCATCTAAGTGTGCTCTCATCACAGATGATATAATATATGATAATACATCGGAAAAATGCTTGTAGTGGGACGTAACGTTCTACAAAGTTTGTGCCCAAATGTATAAAGCCAACAATGCCTATTTCTAGATGATTACAATCGCATGACAAAGTTAATAGATGCTCTACGATGTATATACAAATTTTTGGCATTGTTTAGCAAAACTTTTTTACTCGCTATTAAGCTAACCATGCCGAAACACTTGGTTAATCAAAAAACCATAAAAAATTTATCACAAAAAAAAAAAAAAATATATATATATATATGTATATAAATAAATGTAACACAAAAAACAAAAGCTTTCCTCTTAAGAGCAAAAAAAAAAAAAAAATTTAAAAAAAATGATTTTTATTTGTACTGTTATTAAAAAAAGAAAACAGAAAAAAAAAAAAACTCGCATTCTTTCCATAAAACCCAAATAAAATTTCAATGAGTGAGAGAAAAAATCGCACGTTAATAATGCGAAAAGCGTGAAGTACTTAAATAAACACTTTAAAAACTTAATCTGTTGATGGAAAAAGTATTCAAACTATAAGAAAAAGTAAAATGTTTCGTATTTAATATAATAGACATAGACAAAACAACTAAAACTAAACAAAACAAATATTTCAATCGACTGAAATCAAATTTTTCGCTTTCTATACATCCACTGTTTGTTTGTTGTTTTAATAAAACAAAACAATTCGCGCGCTTATGCGAACAGAATGTATTTGCTTTTGCGTATTGAAGTGTTTGTTTTAATTTTCAAAAATTGTATTTATTTTTTTTATTTTTGTTTTTTCTTTTAATTATAAAATAACAACAGCAACACCGTAAACATAGAATACCAATGTAAAGGTAAACATATGATTGCAAAATTATGATTTCAGATCCAGGAGCAGACGAAAAGTGCCTCATATTGCACCCATAGGAAAAACAAATGCGTTTAAATTTGGTCCCTTGTACATAAAAAAAAAGACAGCTAAAGCCATTCTTAAAAAAAAAAAAAAAAAAAATTTAAAAACCAACTTTCCCCCGAACTTTGCCACTGTTCGCAACAACTTTGGATTTGAGATAAAAAGGTTTTGCATACATGTGCTTGAAGATTTGTATTTGCGCTTATTTAGAACTCAATTAACATCAGAGCTTTATCAATAGGATCGGAGCAATGCTATTGCTTTGAGGCCAATGCTCTTAGGTTATCAAAATTAGAAAGTCTTCCCGTCATAAAAATCAATTGAATAACTGAAAGATTTGCTTTATATGAATTTATTTAATAAATTTCAAAAGGCATGGTGCCTGAAAATCCTTTATTACCCAATATTAACGTTATGTCCGTCTTTTCTAGAGGGAGAGCTGAATAGAGGGTGAAACATTTCGGAAATCAAAGCTTCATGAACGCACTTTTTCTAAGCTAACGCCTTTTGCTTTTTATACGTCACTTGTGGTACAAGGATTTATTAAGTTTGCGCAGATACATCAAACACCCAGCAAGGCTTAAGGTCTCTATTCTATCATCTGCTATTATACCCATCCGTTCAGAATCACTTTTTGCATCTATGTAAGCTTGTCTGTTCGTCGATCTGGGTGCCTGTCTTCGACCTGCAAGTCGCAATCTTTGAGGTACCTTGATGAAATTTTCTACACAAACTATTTTGATCCAAGGATGAACGTTGTTCATATTGACTCGGATTGGAGCCACCCGACCACTTCCCATATAACGCCTTATTTGAAAAAATCAAATATTAATGTGATTTGACCGTATACTCGCACCTATGCCGAGTGTTCAAAGCATAACACTTTATAGCCAGGTAGAAAGACACAAAAAAGAAATAAAGGTACTTCTCCCGTCATGGATTAATTCAATGATTGGCGCATATCATATTTCACATTATTGGTAAACCTTGCGGCCTGCCACATAGCCACATAGTTCAAAAAGCGCGACCTTTAAGCTCTATTTCTGATGCGACCTCATACTATACTCAGCTCTATCCATACTTTATAAAGAGTAATTGTAAAATTTAGTTTAATAAATTATCATCGAGTTAGACGTTCAAATTATCCCTTAGCTCATTTAGCATTAAAATTTGCAAAAAAGGCGCAAAATTCTATGTGTGAAAGAAAAAAAAATTTAATTGTGATTTTCTTTATGGGAATTTCGCTAAAGAATTATGCAGATCATCTACATCAGATATCTTACAGATACGTTTTAATAAATTGAAAACCTAACCTCAATTTAATTTTTCCCATATCCTGTTAATGTTACAAAAGTTCATTATGTTTTTTTTCTGTTTATGTTATACCGAGCAGTGACATAGGACATGAATTCCTGCTAGTAGTGGAGTGAGTTGCTCCATGATGCATCTTCACTTGCAATTATTGCATGACCACTTGTTAGAGATGGTTAAAAATTATTTTTCTCACCGAAACTCGTAAAAACATTTCATATGGATGGCAATCAAACTTCGCCAGAGATTTTGCTCTATTCCTTCCATTCTTCTTAGCCCGTTTTTTTCTTATTACTATTTTGTGGCATATAAACATCATTGGTTTTTTATTTATGACTCGACTTACACAAAGTTCATCCCGCTGACGGCTGATGGCTGTGAAAGCACGGTCATTATGAAACATGGGGAGCTTACATGTCAAATTTCGAAATCTGTCTTCGTTGTTTTAAATGGGAAAACATAGCCGAGTTATTATTGTTTAGTCCGAAAAACACTTTCATAGCGTAATCCATGGGTTATTATTCATTCAGTTACAGATGAAGAAGTAAACAAATGCCAAAAGGCGTCATTATTATTGTGTCACTATTCAACCAAGGACAAAAGGGCACCAGTTATTGGTTGTATTTAGCCGCAGTTCCATTTTTTTTTTTTTTTTTATATTTGCCCAGCCAATGATAATGGAATGTTTCCTGTGTATGGACAGAATGGCTAAAAAAGATTGCTAGCTAGAGGGGGGAAGAAAAAGGGAATAGCATTTATGTTTATTCAAAAGGCGTAGGCGAGAAGGTCAGTGGAGGTAGTTTGTTCCAAAGGCCAACAATGTGATTAAAAAGCTACATGCTGGTGTTGTATAATGTTGTGGGAAAATGTATTTCAATGCCAATCCTCCACGCATGGGTTTACGACAAGCTAAGCAATGCTAATTGTGATAATTTTAAGCAAAACATCAGCTTATCTGTTGAAAGTGCAGAGTGTAAAATAGTTGTTATTTATATTTCAATGAGAATTTGAGATATATTACATGAGATAAAAATCTCTTCCTCTTTGTTTATACTTTTCTCTCCCACTAAACTAAACGTGACGAATATTCGATTATAGCTTCTTGTAACTGGAATATGAATACAACAAGTCATCTACGCAAATTTCGAAATATTTGTATATATTTTGATCTTCCCTGTTCCCCCCTTCCACCCTCCCCCATTACCTATTCAAAAAACCCCATCATATATTTTTTTAATGTTATTCGACATTTTAAGCTATGTCGATAATGATTATATATACAAACGCTAGAATACAGAAAATTCGGTTATTAGTGCATAATGAAAAGGATCAAAAATTCACCTTTGCTTAGGGATCACAAAACATTCACGTTCACATGCACATCAAAAACAAAAGCACAAAATCAGCATAAATTAATATCGTCGTTGTACTGTGTCTACTCTATAAACGTTAAATTTCAGTTTTAATATGATTATGTATCTCTAACAGCAATAATAATGTTTTGCTTTGCTGTCA